GCGGAGTAAGGTTAGCAGAGACATGAACAGGGGCGGACTGACAATGTGGAAACTCGGGCACTGCCCGAGGGCCCGGGGTCAGTAGGGACCCCATCAGATGCCCCTGGTACCTTTTTCATAGGTTTTTTTGAGTTTGGGCAAGGACACAGGGGCCCCATGATCCCCTTTTTCCCAGGGGCCCGATGAGTTGTCAGTCCGCCCCTGGGCATGAATGTGCTACTGTTGCTCCTTTATTGTCCAGGAAATGGGAAAAGGGGGGGTGTTTTAATAAAGCTGTTCTGCCACATAAGTCGAGGACCTGGTTGCGCTGTCTGGCTGGGGCATCAGAATTAAAGATCAGCTGAACAGAATTACAGATATTTTGGCATTTAAAACAGTTAACATGTATTTTATCAATGTATTTAGGTCTATGTTTAGAGTTCAGCTATAAAGACAACTTACCTATTTATATTTTTCATAGTATTAACTTTTTTCATGAAGCCTGAGGTAAGTGCTTTTAGCTTGTCCAATCTTATGTCATTCCTAAATTCCTAAAAGAAAAATCACATGTATACGGTGGTGGTGGTGATCCATGATTGATTGGTGGTCTCAGTGATGTGAGCGTTCAAATCAAGAGCAAAATGAATAATAATACAAATCATCATTTTTATCTAATTGAATTACAAAGGTGAGAGCTCTCAGTTAAACAGTCTGTTTTGTTGTTCAGGTGAAAACTTTGACCAGAGCCCGGTAAGAAGAACCTTCAAATCAAAAGTCCTTGCTCACTACCCTCAAAATGTGGAGTGGAACCCCTTCGACCAAGATGCTGTCAACATGGTACGATCAGAGGGGTCCTAAAGCATAAGCATAACTCAAAAGCTGTGCTAAAGGGAATTGTTGTCTTTTTGTATATATACTTAAAGTTGAAGTTTGGGGTTGGGTGTTTTTTGCACAGTTGCATTGACCCAGCTTGGACCAATGTAAGGCTTGCCATACATGGATCAGTCTTTTTTCTAATCAGCCAGTGGGCTGATCAAAAAAAAAGCTGGACGGATTCCTCCATTTACACAATCAAGGTGGATGGAGGAATCCTCCCCACTGTGTTATTGCATTCTGACAGTGCGGATTATCAAAATACATCGATCGCTGAACGAACAAAAATTTTCCAGCAAGCCTGTTTGTGAGAAATTCAGCAGGGAATGGCTGACTTTCGATCCATCAATGGCCAGCTTTAATATGTATGTTCCATACCTGGCCGATCCCTATGGAAGTTAGAAATCACAGTAATGGGCACGATTATTACAGTGATCACAGCTAGCTTCCAGCTCCAGTATCGAGCAGTTGCCCTTCTGCTTACTGAGCACAGATTTTGGCTTGCTCAGCATGGGTGCCATTCAGAGAACATTTGCATTTTCTCAATTCATAGCGTTCTCCGATTGGATAAGGTGGTGAGATTGTGACCTCCACTTCATCCAGTTAGAGAAAGTTTTGCATTAATTGAGAAATGAAGTGTTCTCTGAATGGCGCCTGAGCAAGTGACCCCCCGTGTTTTCTAAGCAGCAGGACAGCCTCCTGGCATGGGAAACAGAAGCTAGCAGCAATCACAGTAGTAGCAGCGCCTAGATCTGTGATTTCCATCTTCCACGAGGATTGGCCAGGTATGGCATGTACGTACTTTCATCTGTCCAAGGTGTACCAATTTAACTATGCTAAATTATCCACAACAAAACTTCAGCTGTAAAAGCATGTTTATTTCTTTTAATTCTGGAAATATCAAGGCTGCCATTGCTGATCTTTCTTATGAAATTGCCATATTTATGCATTGGCTTCAGTACTTTGAGTCAGTGACCTAGAAAAAAGCCTAAGGATTAATAACTCTGACTTTTCTCCAGCTTTCATTTGCTTCCTGAGACATAGAAGTATTGCAGCCAGGCAATTAGCATTATCAGGAGGTCCGTAGTGGAAGCCCCAAGAGTTTTTTTTATGACAGTTATACCTAAAATAGACCTCAATGGTAAGGAAGTCTTTAAAGGTAAAAGGACTCCTGAAGGAGAAGGTGTACTTTTTGATGGTGCTTTCACATTTTTTACATGCTTGCTATTACATATTTTTGTGATTGGATTAAATGTAGATATTTGTAGGTTAGCCTCTAGAGCTTCTAACTGTGTGTATTAGAACCTGCAACAAGTCAGATGGAGCCCACTTACCAGTAATTTCCTGGCTGAAGGACATCCAGTATTATCTAGCACTTTCCTTCCCAGCCTGAGTGTCACTGGCCTGGCACATTCATTTATTGGATTTGAGTTCTTTCAATCAGGGTCAGCATGCAAATATAGTCTGGTTAGAGAGCCATAAGCTTGAGGTCCCTTGGAAGGAGTACTAAGGCAGGGTGCTATGTTCTTTTACAAGACGCAGCTGTATGTCCTGCGCCCTGCCAGCCCCTCCCACCAGCCATGATCTGCCTGAACTGCATAAAGAAGTACAGAGACCCATTGACGATGTCACTGAGTCTAAAATAAGTTTTATTTAGATATTTCATTAGCATGTTGATGGGTTCGGGATGTTGTAGGAACCATGGAAGGCACACTTCAGATTTAACACATGACAAAAATATTTGCATGCACTTGATCTGTTTTACACATTTTTCTACATAAAACATTAATTTTAAGTGTGAACTTATGAAAGCTTTAACTCTGCACCGTTGCATATGTGTGTAGATGCACTGCTATAGTGAGAACCTTTTCATTGAGGCCTAGAACTTATTACGCGCAACAAAACTAATTTCCATAACATATTCCGTTAAGATGATTTGTTTTACATCAGGTAATTAAGTTTTGTGAAATCAAATTTAAAACATAACCTCTCAAGGAGAGATGCCACAAATTACATTCAGCTCTTGAGAAATGACAGAATAATTTCCTTTTTAAGTTTTTTGTTTGTTTTTTTTACTATTCTTTTGAGGATTTCTGGTAGATTTAGTGCAGGGTTAGATTCAGAAAGGATTAGGCTCGTAAAAAACAAGTTGCTGTTTTAATTTTTTTTTTTCAGTATTTTGAGTTAGATCCAGATTGAGGCGAATTAACAGAATACTATAGGATGATGTTGGACCTTTCTGGTATATCCATAATATGGTTATTTCTGCATGACCATTAAATCCTCATGGTTTGAATCTCACGATAAGGATACATTTTTTGGGGTCTACAGTTAACATCTAATGACACTAAAGTATATGACCAAAAGTGTGTGGACACGCCTCAAAATGATGGAATCCAGGTGAAGCCAGTGAGGGGTACTATTAATACTACATCATGCAAAGACATTTTACACAATTGTGCTCTTCCAAGCTTTTAATAACAGTTTTTTTTTTTTTTTAATGTTCCAGCATAATTGTGCCCCTGTGTAGAAAGCCAGCTCTATAAAGACCGTAACCCTACTAAACACCTTTTGAAATTAATTTGAACGCCAATTATGAGCTAGGTCTACTCATCTAAAATCAGTACCTGACATCATGCTAAATGCTATTTTTGCTGAATTAACCCAGTTTCCCACAAACAAGCTCCAAAAATGTGTGAAAAGCTTTCATGGAAGGGCGACTGCTGTTCCAGGCACAAAAGGGAGATGGGGTAACTTCCTACTAATGCCCATGATTTTGGTATGGGACATCCAACCATCTCCTATACAAAAGGTGTGATGGTTATGTGCAGAGGCGGACTGACAACTCATGGGGCCCCCAGGCAATAGGGGATCATGGGGCCCCTGTGTCCTTGCCCAAACTTAAAAAAGACTATGAAAAAGGTACCAGGGGCATCTCATGGGGACCCCTGCTGACCCCAGGCCCTTGGGCAGTGCCCGAGTTTCCAAATGGTCAGTCCGCCCCTGGTTATGTATTCATAAACCTTAAAGTATAAGTTCACTTAAAAAAAAAAAATAATAATTATAATGCACATTTTTTGCCGGTAAAAAAATGTTCATAAAATATTTTTTTCTTACGAGCCTGCAGAGCATTGCACCTGTGATCAGCAAATCGAGTGTGCAGTGCCATGCTCCTGTAGACTCTCCATACAGCTGTCTGTCTGAACCTCCTGTACGGGCAGACAGTTAATAAAGAGCAGGAAAAATCAATAAATCACGAGAGTGCTCACACGTGAGAACTACAAGCCATCTGCCGTGGTGACACATGGGACTTGTAGTTTATTTAGTCGCACGCTGTCTTTAAATTATGACAGTGGCTACAGGGAGAGGATCCCTTGCCCGCTGTCACATTGGGGGGGTATCAGGGGGGTGTTGCTCTGCTTTAGTAACGTGTTACACCCGGACTATAGGTATAAATATATGACATGTTACTAAAGGTGAACTTAACTTTCCAATATGTGTACTATATGTCCTAAAGGATATTATATAATGCCCTTGTATGTTTGAGTCTGGGAGTCACAAAAGGAGTATTCAACAACATTCTATTTCTTCTTTACTTTTTACAGCTTTGCATGCCGAAGGGGCTGTCCTTCCGAACACAATCAGACTCCCGGGACCCCCAGTTCCATTCATTTATCATCACCAGAGAGGATGGCTCTAGAACATATGGATTTGTGTTAACGTTTTACGAAGAGGTGACCAGTAAGCAAATATGTACCGCCATGCAGACTCTATACCAGATGCACAATGCGGAGCACAGTGTTTATGCTTCGTCCTCCTGCAGCATGGACTCCCTAGCCAGCAGCGTGGAGGATGGAGACGCCACATCCCTGGCGAAGCTCCAGCGGTATAACTCCTACGACATCAACAGGGACACGCTTTACGTTTCCAAGTGCATATGTCTGATCACCCCGCTCCCGTTCATGCAAGCCTGCAAGAAGTTCCTAACACAACTCTATAAAGCTGTAACGTCCCCACAGCCGCCACCTCTGCCGTTGGAGAGTTATATACATAACATTCTGTATGAGGTCCCTCTGCCGCCACCAGGACGGTCTCTGAAATTTTATGGAGTGTATGAATCTATTGTTTGTCAGAGGCCAGGACCTAATGAACTTCCATTGTCAGACTATCCTCTCAGAGAGACCTTTGAGTTACTGGGATTGGAGAACTTGGTTCAGCTCTTCACATGTGTACTACTTGAAATGCAGATTCTGCTGTATTCACAAGGTGAGACTTTGGTGATAATGTTAAAAGCAAAAATAAATATAAAAGTGTGTGCGTGTGCGTGTGTGTGTGTGCGTGTGCGCGCGCGTGTGTATTTATTTCAGGCACTTAAATAGCACTGTCAATTTACCCGTGTGTGTGTGTGTGTGTGTGTTGTGTGTGTGTGTGTGTGTGTGTTTTTATGTATGTTTTTTTTGTTTTGTACAGCTAAATAACATGCATAAAATACACTCACCGGCCACTTTATTAGATACACCTTGTTAGTGCTAAGAAAATCTCCCCCGCACCATTACACCCACTACCACCAGCCTGAACCACTGATACGAGGCAGGATGGTTCCATGCTTCCAGGTTGTTCACGCCAATTCTGACCCCACCATCTGAATGTTGCAGCAACCAGTCTGCCCATTCTCCTCCAACCTCTGACATCAACAAGGCATTTTCATCCACACAACTGCCGCTGACTGGATATTTTTTCTTTTTCGAACCATTCGCCTAAAGATGGTTGTGTGTGAAAATCCCAGTAGATAAGCAGTTTTTGAAATACTCAGACCAGCCCATCTGGCACCAATAACCGTGCCATGTTCAAAGTCACGTAAATCCCCTTTCTTCCTCATTCTGATGCTTGGTTTGAACTTCAGCAAGTCGTCTTCACCACATCTACATGCCTAAATGCGTTGAGTTGCTGCCATGTGGTTGGATGATTAGCAGTTTGTGTTACCAAGCAATTGAACAGGCGTACCTAATAAAGTGGCTGGTGAGTTTATATTAACTGCACATATGGGAAGTTTTTAGTGAATGAATGGTATAGTGACAGGGTCTCTTTAAGATAATTGCATTCATGTTTTCCTATTGAAAACAAAACACACTGTTAAAAGTCTGGTTTCCTTTTAAATGCCCCCTGAGACTGCACCATGTGACCCAGTGGGAATGTCAGAACTTGGTAACCGCATAAAAACATCTCTGACCTTTGTCATGGAATTCGTATACATTGCAGGACAGGACAGCCTGACCCTTTCAGCTGGAGCGCACTTGTAGTAAAGTTTTGAATCTGACATTCACTGCAGGTGAAACTCTCTGGTGCAGATCCATCAGGTTGTATTTATCACTAAATAAAAATTCCTCCTAATTGTTCAACTTTTTTTGTTACCCAGAGTTGACTCTTTGTGGTCTGAAGATTACTGATTGCAATTGACCGCTGTGTCTCCTTTTTACTTTTTTTTTTTTCTTCTTTGAAATCCTCAAAACTGAAACTCAGCTTATTTGAACATGAGAGAAAATCTATCAAAGGAGTGTAAAATTTAACACTTCTTATCTCTTATTCATGCATGTGGGAATTAGGAAGTGCTAAGCACCAGGGCTCAGCAGAATCTAGGCCACACTGTTCTCTATGCTGGGTTCCCAGCACTGCAGAGTGAGGGTTTAACTGCTTGTGTCTCAAGCACAGCGGGACTTCCCGCAGGACTGTACACAAGCAATCCCAAATGGCATTGAAAAAAATGGTGATAAGCAAAGCAAGTTGAACTCCACCAATCTGTTTTCCTCCCTTTCAAGGAAAAGCAACAGATTCACCTTAGACCTCATTCACACTGCATGTTTTTACAGCTGCTTCTAGGGGCATCTTGGCGTTTTTTTTTTTTGTTTGTTTTTTTTTCTTGCCTCTAAACTCCCCTGCATGTTAGCCTATGTGTGCATGCACACAAACTTTTAGAGGAGTTTAGAGGCAGGAAAAAAAACCCACTGCAGTGCATCTAGGAGCAGCAGAGTTTTGGCAGAAACAATGCTTGATGCCTCTAAATGCATCTCAACGCGTGTTAATGCTAGGTGCACTAAGCGCTTAAAGTGGTATTAAAGGATTTAATTTTTTTTTGTAAACAAACATCATACATACCTGCTCTCTGCAGTGGTTTTGCACAGAGCAGCCCGAATCGTCCTGCTTCCCAGGTCTCCCGCCGGTGCTCCTGGCCCTTCCCTCCTTTCGGGTGCCCCCATAGCAAGCTGCACACTGAATTGCTGCTTGGCCCTGCCCCCTCTTCTCTCTTCTCATTGACTCACTGACTGTGATTGACAGCAGTGGGAGTCTCTCATTGCTGTCTCAGCCAATGAGGAGAGGGAGTCCCAGGATAGCCAAGACTCTAGTGCACATCGCTGGATTGAGAGGGGGCTTAGGGGAGTGTTAGGGGGAGGCTGGGGGAGCTACTGCACAGAGAATGTTTTTTTTACCTTCATGCATAGAATGCATAAAGGTAAAAACTTTGAGCCTTTACAACCACATTAAGTGCTAATTCATTTCAAAGGCCCAGAATAAAGAATTTGTTTCTGGTCATTGAAATGAATTAACACCCAAATGCTTGATGCCAATAAACACACTTTTACAAGCATCGGGTGTGTTTTCTGCTGCCAGGAGGAAAGGTTTTTGGGAGAGTTAGAAAAGTGTCCTGTGTACACAAGGCCTTAAAGTGTTACTAAACCCAGGACCCTGCATTCACTATATCTGGTCTCACACAGTACACACAACATGGAAATGCAAATATTTTAGTAAATATAAACTGCTAAATACCTTTTCTCATCAGCAGTTAGAGCAGGTTTGTGACTTCAGCAGAGCACTGGTTAACCGCTTCCTGTCTACCCTATAGCAGAAGTACTGCTACAGGGCGGCACAGGTGTGCACAATCACGTGTATATATACGTGATTTTGCATTTCTGGGTCACCCTACCTACGCCACCATTCATGGCCATGGCTGCCAATCACCAGTTCAACAAAACAGTTCTCTCCCCTGTCAGCTCATGCACACTGCTTTGCATGGCTGTGCATAGCACAGTACAGAATTTGCTATTTCATGTGATACATAAAGCTGAAATAAATCTTCCTAGATAAATTGTACCTGTTTAAACTGTAGCGAAGAGAGGACTGCAGATAAAGTGTAGATTTCCCACAGCATTTCTCATCTCTAGCAGGCAAGGGACGGGCTCTGATGTCTCACACTGTTCAGAACACAGTACATGGAATGGGCTCACTGCCTTCTACACAGTCTCATAGGGAGACATGCACAACTGAGTCTGACAGTCACTTGCTGTGTGCTGTGGAGGAGCGGGCCCTCTCCTGGGAATGTCTGGTGTCTGCATAAACTGTCAGAAGTGACTTATGCAGAGATCAGAGGAGCAAGAGAGCAGACAGAAATCACACTAGGTGCTTTGGATCAAGATGTGTACATACTATAGAAGGATATGCTTTGTTCATTTTTCATTTCAGCGGTTTAATTCCACTTAAATTCGACTGGAAGATTGGTGAACATCCTTCTCTCCAGTGGCTGACTATTAAAACCTCATTGTTATACACTGCTTCACTGATGATTAAAAAGAGGCAGCGTAACAGTTTGACGCGAGCACCAAAATCAAGATGTCCAAAGTTAAAACGGAACTACACTGTATCTGAGCACCACAAACCAAAAACACTATTTAATTCATTTTCCATATTCAAAGAGAAACCCCTAATCCATTCACGTGTCCATGCTTTATTTTGCTGAGAAATCACTTTGAAAAACAACCCCTAGCATTTCTGGCAGTGGCCTTCTTGAGTAAGGGCAGAAGATTCATGTAGCAGTTACTTCCTGGAATCCATCCCTCCCTCCTCTCCTGAAGACTGCTGAAATATATGATGACATTTGCCTGGACAGGAAACCAGGAAGTAACTGAAGAAATGTATAAAAAAAAAGTTTAAAACAGTAAATATGATGATATACTTTCCTATCCATTTACTGTGCTAGCAGCACAAGGATTATAAATAGTCCATGTTGATGGAGAGAGTGAAGTTTAATTTTATTTAGAGGAGGCATAAAGTAAAAAAAAAGTAAACTGAGAAGCAACTAGTGGAAGCTTGTTTTTTTTTTTTTTTTTATTGCAATGCACTTCTTTATATTCTCTAAGAACTATTCCACTGTGTTGGCCAGAATAAACCTCTTTACAGCATCTGCTAGACACCATGAAGGGAGATCTTTTGAACTTCCAAAACGCTTTGATTGTTGTACAGTTTGCGTCTTTTAAATAAAATGTATTCTTGACTTTACTCACCTCGCTTTTTTTGGTGCTTCATTCTATAAACTTTTAAGCCATGTTTGAAATACGGGTTGCTTCATAGCATTTGTCTTCCAGAACAGAAAAACTATGTAATCATGATGTTACTGTTTTATTCCCTAAACTTGATTATGACTATGAAATTTCTCTTTTTGGCCAGATTACCAGCGGCTGATGACTGTAGCAGAAGGGATCACGTCGCTACTTTTCCCATTCAGTGGCAGCATGTGTATGTCCCCATCCTGCCGGCCTCTCTCCTTCACTTCCTTGATGCTCCTGTACCGTACTTGATGGGCCTCCAGTCCAAGGAAGGGACAGATCGAACCAAACTTGAATTACCACAGGAGGTTTGTAGCTTTTATTGACTTCATGTTACATTCATATTATTTTATGGGGTGATTTTGATTATTGGAAGGTTGTGAGGAACGTTTGGGCTTTGTGTCTTCATTGAGAACCAGTGTTGAGGCATGACTGCGCTTTGGCTATGTGGGACAAAGCAGCAAGTTCAGTTTATTGCTGTCATCTTCAGCAGCACATACTTACCTTTTCATTGCTTCGCTGCTGCTGAGAGTAAGGAAACTACTTGATACCATCAGGTATAGAAACATGTGTGAAGTACGCCACATTCTCTCATGTGACATCACTGGTGCTTGGTCCAGCTTTGTCACATAGAAACAGAAAGAGAGCTCTATGTAAGCTCCAATTATTCTCTTATTGCTTGCAGTTGATCAAGAGTAAAGGATATGTAAGTATATATTGCCAGGAAGGAGGATATTAAAGTGAACTTGCTTTGCCCTGAATGGGGCAAGCACAGCTTTCTGTACATCGCACCGCGTTTTTTTAAATGATTTTGGGGTGTCGTTAACCACTTGCCTACTGGGCACTTTTACCCCCTTCATGCCCAGGCCAGTTTTCAGCTTTCAGCGCTCTCACACTTTTAATGACAATTGCGCGGTCATGCAACATTGTACCCATATGAAATTTTTATAATTTTTTTTCACACAAATAGAGCTTTCTTTTGGTGGTATTTAATCGCCACTGGATTTCTTTTTTTTTTTTTTTCACTATAAACAAATAAAGAGCAAAACATTTGACAAAAAGTTTTTTCTTTTGGTTTATTATAAAATTTTGCAAACAGGTAATTACGCAGCACTGATGAGCACTAATAGGCAGCACTGATGGGGTGGCACAGATAGGCAGCACTGATGGGCACTGATGAGGAGGCACTGATGCTGCACTGATATGCAGCACTGATGGGTGGCACTGATGGGCATAGGTCGGAGGCACTGGTGGGAAGCACTGCTGGGTGGCACTGCTGGGCACTGATGATCAGTGCCAATCTGATCTGTGACAGTTGCCGGTTATTGGCAGTACTTTCCTCACACTGTGTGAATTCAAAACACTGAATTCAAGCCACAGTACACTTTGAAGACAGTGAAGCATGGTTGCACAAGCATCATGATATGGGGATGTTTCTCATACTACGGTGTTGGGCCTATTTATCGCATACCAGGGATCATGGATCAGTTTGAATACATTAAAATACTTGAAGAGGTCATGCTGCCTTATGCTGAAGAGGAAATGCCCTTGAAATGGGTGTTCCAACAAGACAACGACCCCAAACACACCAGTAAACATGCAACATCTTGGTTCCAGACCAACAAGATTGACGTTATGGAGTGGCCAGCCCAATCCCCGGGTCTTAATCCAATAGAAAACTTGTGGGATGACATCAAAAATGCAGTTTCTGAGGCAAAACCAAGAAATAGAGAAGAACTGTGGAATGTAGTCCAATCATCCTGGGCTGGAATACCTGTTCACAGGTGCCAGACGTTGGTTGATTCCATGCAACACAGATGTACAGCAGTTCTCAGAAACAGTGCTTATACAACTAAATATTCATTAAGTGAATCAAAGGAAAGCAACATCTTCAAACATTTTTCAGTTTATATAGTGAATGTTTGAGTTTGTAAAGAAGAATACAAACACTGCTATTTTTTTGAACAGTCTAATATTCACTTTTCTTCAATTTTTTTTAGAGGAACAACACAAATTTGATATATTTTTCTTCATGTTTTGATTTGGAATAGTATGTGTAGTGTTCCCAATGCATTTGTGTGTATGGAAATACAAGCTATTAGAAGGATTTTGAGCTTTATTCACTTTTTTCAACACACTGCTATTATTTTGAACACAACTGTAAATAACGAAATAAAGGTTTCAAAGGATAGGTTCAATATACATTATGTGAGAAGATTGCTAATGAAATGAATGGTCTGGTACCAGGGTCCCTTTAAACTGATGTATTCTTTTATAACTTGGCATGGGTGAAGCAAATCATGAGGATTTCAGTTTAAATATTCACATCAAGTAGAAAACTCCTGTCTGCCATTACTCTGATTATGTTTGTAGTATCCATTAAGATCTATATTCAGCTTTCCAGATTAGAGCTAAAGGGCACTTTAAAAAGCTGCTTGAAGTTTGCTAAAAGCTTTACAAATGCTCATTGTACAAGGTATGTTCCAGTCTAGTGTTTGCAAAGCAAAGTGTATTCTGGTACAGTACTGCTGAGCAATTGTGATGAAAGTTTACAGCGGTGTCTTGTAACCATTCAGGGTTCCTCTTACTTTCCAGCTGACCTCTCCCCTACATGTTTAGGTATATTGGCTGCTGTGAGTCACAGATTTCAGGCTCTTTAGTGATGTCACATGCTGGTCTTTGTACAGAGGAGGAACAGTAACAGATAAGATTGTGCCTGTAATATGCACTGCTGTCCATGCGGTAATAGCTACTCTGAGTATAACTTCTTGGAGCATGCCACTCAGGGCCAAATGTAGCCTGTCCGATGTGGGGGTGCAGTAAAAAATGTCAGGGGGGCAGAGGATGGGAGGCCAGCAGGGCAGAGGACGGGGGCCACTGCTGGCAGGGCAGAGGACGGGGGGGGTCACTGCTGGCAGGGCAGAGGACGGGGGGGTCACTGCTGGCAGGGCAGAGGACGGGGGGGTCACTGCTGGCAGGGCAGAGGACGGGGGGGGGGGGTCACTGCTGGCAGGGCAGAGGACGGGGGGGGGGGGGTCACTGCTGGCAGGGCAGAGGACAGGGGGGGTCACTGCTGGCAGGGCAGAGGACGGGGGGGGGGGGGTCACTGCTGGCAGGGCAGAGGACAGGGGTCACTGCTGGCAGGGCAGAGGACAGGGGTACAGCTCCTTCTTCCATCCCTGTACTACACACAGCCTGGGCACAGGCAGCAGAGCTCCTCCCAAGACAATGCATAACTGAGATCAGTATAGTGTCAGTCAAGGATCGTATAGTGTCAGGCTAGGGCAGTATAGTGACAAACTAGGGCGGTATAGTGTATGGTTAGGGCAGTATAGTGGCAGGTTACGGTGGGCTTTGGGGTGGGCACAACTAAAATTTGGGAGGGGGGGGTTTTAGCCCACACCAGCACCCTCCTAGATCTGGCCATGATGCCACTATATGCAGTCCTTACTCAATAGCCTTAATTAAAGTATCATTATTATAATACAGGATTTATATAGCACCAACAGTTTGCGCAGCGCTTTACAAAATTAAGGAAAACATTACAGTTACAATACAATGTGGTACAAGAGGAATCAGAGGGCCCTGCTCCTTAGCGCTTACAATCTAAGAGTAACAATAAAGGCTTGTGTTTTATTTTTGTAAGTAACAAATATGTCATACTTACCTGCTCTATGCAATGGTTTTACACAGAGCAGCCCCCATCCTCTTCTTTTTGGGTTCCCTGTCAGTGATCCAGGCTCCTACCCCCTGCTGATTCCCCCCAATAGCAAGTATCTTGCTATGGGGGCACTCAAGAAGGCTCATCCCTGATCCACGCTCCTGTGAATGGACATTAACCATGCAGCCCAGCCCCCGTTGTCTCCTCATTGATTCACGGACTGTGATTGATGGCTGCAGGAGCTGCGGCTCTCATTCACATTACCAGACCGAGATGCGGCTCAGGTAAGGGTAGGGGGGAGCTGCATCCAGAAGGGCTTTTTTTACCTTTTATGCATAGAATGCATTAAGTTGAAAAAAACCTTCTTTCTGCCTTTAGAACCAGTTTAAGCTAGCCTAGCCTTAATTACGATGCATTGCCTGGCAGTTAGAGGCCTACAGAAGAAACTTTGTTGGTTAAAAATTTTGTCAGGTTGGTGAAAGTACAATGGTGCTATGCTGTTTGCCTGTTTTTAGCCTTAAAGGGCTTCTTTATAAGATATATATGTCATAAATGCATGCATGTGTGTGTGTGTGTGTGTATGTGTATATGTGTGTGTGTATATATATATATGTGTGTGTGTGTGTATATATATATATATATATATATATATGTATGTGTGTGTGTGTGTGTGTGTGTGTGTGTGTGTGTGTATATGTATGTATAATTTTTTTAATGCTATTCTGCTGCATTGCAGATTCTTCTTTTTGATTATATGTGCATATAGCAGCATGGAACCTGTTTATCTGTAGCACCCAGAGTATAACACACTCTACATTGTAGCACACATGGGCTGGGCTTTAAAGCAAACCTGTAATTTACTCACTGAGGGCAAAGTAAAATTATTGAGTAAGCATCGTCTTTTGCCCTCTACAAAATCTATATGTATGGTGTGGGTTGAAGTGATGGGCTTCTTGCGCACCTGCTGCTGCACTGACACATGGTCACCATAGCAGGAAGTACTGGGTACTTCACATGGCTCCGCAGGGGAGGGGAAAGAAGTATCAGCAGTGCACTGGAGGGCTGGCTGTTGGAGGTACTTGGGCGTGAACTCTTCAAGCTTCCCATGGCTGTACTCTTTTAAGCTTATGTATTATTATGTGAACCTCCTCTTGGTCATTCAGCTGCCTGATTTATCACAGCAATTGTAGAAACAACCTGTAAAAATCAGTCTTCCTGTTTTGAAGCACCCCCTTCTGGCCCTTAGTGGTAAATATGAAATGTCTATCTGCAATATTTGATCATTATCAAATTAAAAAAAAATGTAGATTTTTGTTTTAGCACATTAAATAGGTAAAGATTTTGTACTAAAAAGTGTAAGATATCTTTCTTCATAAATTGGAGAGGCTGTACTGTATATATCATACTGCATTGGTGTTGGCAGCAATGAGTCATCGTTTCAGGCTGTATTAGGTGGGCTGAAGGCTGTATATAGTATAGTATATAGATTATGTAAGGATCCTCTAATTTGTATTCTTGTATGGATGGAAGACAGGGTGATTCATCTCATCTTACTGCCAGCTCTTTTTTGGCTCTGCTAGCTTGTGTTTGTAGTGAGACAGTGGCATCTCTCAGTTGGGGCGTCGTGAGACAGCGTATGGCAAGATG